CCATACTGGATCCAGGAGACAGTTGGTCGTTGCTGGAGGGGACAGGGTGCACGGTCCTTGTGGCCGTGTTAGGATCAAAGAGTGGTTCCATGCACTCAGTGTGGAGCGGACTACGGTCTAGCCACCGCCTTGTGTGCGCTTGATTCCCAAATGCAGTGTGCTTGTGTTTGCCTACGAAGGAGTGTGGGCCGGCTCCGTTGATGAAACTTGGTTCCCATCCGCCTGCCTCCCGGTCTTATTCCTTCGGGTTCACACTGGATATGGGGTGTGTGGTTGGAGCTGTGGGTGGTGCAGCGCAAGCCATCCATGGTTCCTCTGTAGGTGCAGGCGTCCTGTGGCTGGCGACAGTGACAGGCAAATCCGAAACCGGATGCCGCCAACCATATATATATATATATATATATATATATATATATATATATATATATATATATATATATATATATATCCATCGCAATGATGCTGGACCTAACCTTGGTGCGATAGTTTGCGTGCCTCAGAGATCCATTGAGTTATGCTGGGTGGTGCTTTTTTTGCACCTTCAGATCCACTCATACCAGATTGGTCAATGCTTAGAGGCCAGACAAACTCAACCTCCTGGTCCTCCAGCTTGGGGGTTGGAATGGCGGTGGCTCCCCAATTCATAAAATGGGCTCTGTAGTCCAGTACCAAAACCCGCTGCCTTGCGGTAAGGTTTTTGAATCAAAGACTTTGATTGAGAATCCCAATCATTCTCCTGTCTAGGCCTGGGCAACCTAACAGTTTTCTGCCCACGCAATACACCATGACCTTTCATTGTAACAATCTCTTGATGCTCTGACCGTCGCAGAGGATAATAAACGGCTCCATATCTGCTGCATCGAGCAGGGTGGATAGGAGGATGGATGCTACTGCTCAGGCCTTCCCGTTTTTTATACCCATACTTGCGCTTCTTCATCCTTATCGTCCCGCTCCAAGTTTACTTATATCCCACCATTTTCAATCCCCCAATTCTAAGCCCTCCGCAGCTTGCTTCAATAGTCGCTTGTCTTTTAATTTCCAATCACACACAATCGCAGAGCCTCGCTCCAATCCAGTCGACAAGTCCATGTTCAACCAAGCGGACAACGTCAGTTCATCCGTTTCCACTTGGAGTCCTCGTGTCTCTCTAAGACTGGCATGCCTCAACGTGCGCACTTTGCTGCAGATTGGCCAACAAGCAGCACTTGCCCGCACACTAGAGACTCTATCGATCGATATTTGCTGTTTATCAAAAACCCGCCTGCAAGATTCGAGCGCCATGCTTACCCTGCGATCTCCCATATGCGACACAGCGGCACATTCTCATTGCGCTTGTCTGGCGATGATGCAGCTTCAAATGCCGGTCAAGCTGGCGTCGGCATTGTTTTGAGTCCCCGGGCTTTAGCTGCCCTGATTGATTGGATCCCAGTAAACAGTAGGCTGTGCGCCGTTAGATTAGCTGGTTCGTTCCGTGCTACGAAGTCGCGCGGGGACAACGGTGCCTGTTTGTCATTGCGGCATACGCCCCCACAAACTGGAGCACTGATTCGGTAAAAGATAATTTCTATCAGCAACTTCACGAGCGCCTTCGTTACAGAAGAAGCACGGATACTGTGGTGTTGGCTGGCGATCTAAATTCCCAAGTCGGAAAATTTTCCTCTGATGAACTTCATCTGGCCGGCCAACATGGTGTAGGCTCCCGTAATGATAATGGTGAGCGGTTGCTACAGCTGCGTGAATATGCTCGCCTCTTTTTCGCGAGCACTAACTTTCGTCACAGCACCCGCAGAAGCGTGACTTGGCGGCCACCAGCCTCGGTCCAGCCATGGACGCAAATCGATCATATCGCGATCAGTTACCGTTGGAGAGGCTGTGTCCAAAACTGTCGCTCGATTTGGAGCACGAGCGGGGACTCTGACCACGAATTTGTCTGTGTCGGTCTCCTGGTGCGTTTCGGTGGATGTCCGCAACGTCGATATGACCAGATTGACACCAACCAGCTGGCGAAGCCAGATGTTATGAATGTGTATCAAAGTGCGCTGACATCTGGGCTGAGTATGCTCCCACTGAACACCGTCGAAGATCACTGCTCGCATATTCGTAAAACGTTACTCTTAGCAGGCATGTCTTCATGTGGCAAATCAAATTGCCAAACGCGACGTCGGGTCTGTACACAGTCACTGGAATCTAAGGATGCTCGCCGACGTATTCCGGCTAGAAGCGAATATAATGAGACTCGCGAAGACCAGAGGGCAAAACTCCGTGCGAGCCTGAAGAAGGACCGCGAAGCCTGGTGGTCTCATCGTGCCTATGAGATGGAAACAGCCGCTACCGTTGGCAATCATCGTAACTTATCCCGTCTGATACGTGAAACAGGCAGCAGGAGACCTGGTGTTAGCGACATCATACGCGGCGAGAGTGGACAGCCGATCCACAGCTTGTCAAAACGCCTGGAGAGTTGGGCTGAACAGTTTGCAAGGCAATTTAACCAACCTGAGTTATCGCTTTCTTCTTCGGGCATTGAGCACCCTTCTCCCTGGACCGTCTCCTTGGATCCGCCCTCACGCGCAGAAGTCGAATGTGAGATCAGGCTGTTGAAATTGCATAAGGCCGCAGGGGCAGATAGAGTTCCCCCAGCCCTCTTCAAATTCGGGGGGCCAGCTCTAGTAGATGATTTACACGAGTTGCTAGTAAAACTTTGGGAGCAGGAGACAGTCCCGACAAACTAGAACCGCTCCGTCATTGTCCCAATTTTCAAAGGAGGCTCCAGTTTGGAATGCGACAATCATAGAGGGATCAGTCTGATTTCGATTGCCTCTAAATTGCTTGCCTCTGTCATTCTCCACAAACTGACTGGCAATCGTAAAAGCCAGATTCGTGAAGAGCAAGCCGGATTTCGTCGAGGTCGGGGCTGCATCGACCACATCTTCACATTGCGTCAAGTGTTGGAGCACCGCCATGTTTATTGGCGACCCACCGTTGCCGTGTTTCTTAACATAGAAGGTGCCTACGACTCAGTCGATCGATGTGCCCTTTGGGACTGTCTGCTGAGGAAAGGTATGCTTGATAAATATGTAAACATTATCAAAACGCTGTATGCGCATAGTTCGGGCAGATTGAGTGTTTATGGCCAACTCTCGCCACTCTTCAGCATCACCAGCGGTGTGAGACAAGGATGCCCGCTGTCACCTTTCCTCTTCAACTTCGCTATTGATGAAGTCATGAAAACAGCGTTCGCTGGACACGACCTAGAATGTGTGGAGCTACTTCCTGGTGAGCGACTTGTTGACTTGGAGTATGCGGACGATATTGCACTAATCTGTGACAGCTCCTAAACTTGCCAAACAGTACTGGATCGATTAGCACTGGCTGTCAATCGTTTTGGGCTATGATTTGCTCCGTCGAAATGCAAAGTACTTCTCCAAGATTGGCAGGGACCCAACCCTGCGCTAACGCTTGGTGGTGATCTGCTAGAAGTCGTTCAGGAATTCAACTACCTGGGCAGCTATATTAGCACCCGTGGGATTGAAGATGAGGTTACGAACCGTATAGCAAAAGCTCGAGGTGCTTTTGCGAGTCTACGCCACTTGTGGTGCAGACGTGACATTACTCTCTCCCTGAAGGGCAGAGTTTACAACGCAGCCGTCCGTTCAACTCCCCTATATGGCTATGAAACCTGGCCCATCAGGTCGACAGACATAAAGAGGCTCGTCATATTCGATCATCGTTGCCTTCGCAGCTTAGCTCATGTCTGGTGGGAGCACCGCGTGAGCAATGAGCGTGTTCGACGTCTCGTATTGGGTGCAGGAAGAGCGAGTGAACCGCTCAGCACCATTATATCACGCACCCGTCTCCGATGGCTGGGCCACATGTTGCGCATACCAGCACACCGACGCCAGCGAGGTGCATTGTTTGCGCGTTGTGGGTGCGGTTGGAAGAGGAGGAGCGGAGGCCAAGTGATGACTTGGTCGAGAGAAATGAAAACCCTCACTTCGAAGGTGGCGTTGCTTGGTGCATCCCGACTGCCTGGCTGGGGTCCTAAGGGCGGTGAACACGTTTGGTTGGACACCCTTGCTGATATGGCTTGGAGCCGGCCCCACTGACGTTTGTGTTGTGAGTTCCTTTGTCCATCCCCTCCTGCTTAGCATCCCCCACCAATCACGATCTCACTTGCTAGGCATAATATGACTCGCATTTACGGCAGTCAGCTGTTAGCTCTCCGGAACGATGTCCATCCGTTTCTGGGGACTCAGCGGGCGTGCCACTGTTTCTTTTCCTTTTCTTGTGTTCTGTATTGTGGCACAATAGCTGAGGTGTTTCCCACCTCCAGCTAACGTGTAATGATGATGATATATATATATATATATATATATATATATATATATATATCCAGTCAGGTGTGAAATCTTTGTGGAATCAGTCAAGCTGGTTACATCACAAAGTTCGGTGTTAAACCCCTTTCGCTGACAGCGATTCATCCCTTCCGGTGAGGAAATCTCGAGCTAATCTTTACACCACTACAACTAAGCTCAACCAAGGAAGATCAAGTTAAACAGCCCTGAAGTTGGATCAGGTTACTCAGACAGCAGCTTGGTCAACCAGTTGTGTGGGCGTCACCGAAGCAACCAAGTCGGAATCGGTAGATAATTGAAACAGTGTCACAGTGACACACGGAAGGTTGTGCGGCCCCGCACTACGCACTCACCTGTCCACCATTCGAGTCTTCCTTTCAACTTGCCCCAGTGGTTCGCTGGTTGTCAGGTTTATCATTCGCCCAATGTTTGGAAGTTAGAGACTGCCATTAGAGTACCGTAGCGTTAAAAGTTGCTGGAAGAGCTGGATATCGAGAGAAAAATCACCAGGCCCTCTTTGTCGCCCTGAATGTCTTCAGGATTTGTTCGAATGAGTAGAGCAACAAGCCCATCAGTAAGTGGAGTGACGGGATAAAATGCAGTCGCAGTGCACTGTGTGTAACCTAACGGTACTTCAAGGCCACAAGAGCACGTGATGTGATTCAAAGCACTATCGACCGGTAGCGCATGCGATCCAGACATAAACGGATGACTTCTGCAGAGAAGTTAAGGTTTAGAAACATGCTGGATTAAAATCGAAATCGAAACATGTAAAAAGATGGAGGAGGATTGCAGCCTAGCCAAAATAAGGCCTGCTTGCTCTCCGGTTGATGAAACGACTTCAGGAACAAATTCTTATTTGATAAACCGAGACCTGAAACAGGCCATTCGCGCTCTACATGAGGCTTACCGCTCCCAAATCACTGAAGTTGTCGAACCACGAACCACAGGGGACGATCCCGGGAGATTAATACACCTCATGGGTGATTTAATCAACAAAGTGATACCACTGAGGCCAGTTAATACTTCGGGCTGCACGGGAAGTAGTCAAGCACATAGAAAACCGAATCACAGTTTTCAGCCTCCGTCGTATCGTGTAAGACCAAGAATGGTGAAAGAAAATGATCGAAATTTGCACCGGGCCGAAAGAGATACTGTGTCTTCTTTCGGCCTCATACGAAGTCGTATGTCTGAGTGGGTGAACAAGTTGTTTCCCGGGAGTAAACGGCTACAAAAGAGTCGTTTCTCGGACAAGAAGAAGTCGACGTGGCCAAACCTGATTAATGACCAGGCAGCGGTTAAAAGTGCAAGGAATTGTAACATAACAAATCATCATAATGTCCGAGGGCGGCTTTATGAATCCAACGATGTAAGAAGGGCCAGGTTGAGTAGACAAATGCGAATGGCACATTCCAGCTACATGCATCACGAGTGGGAAGAAATTCCCGAAACAGTGTTAGGGGAAAATGAAAACTTTGGCAAATCTAAGCGGAAGAAGCATCAACCAGATGAAACCGGTAGAGAATCCAGTTTAAAAACCGCACCGACAGAAAACAAAGGGCAAGAAGAAGAAAGTAGGGGTGCGGAGAAAGGAAACAGGAAACGAAAAAGTGCAGTGAGGAAACTGCTTGACCTTACTGCAAATTCTGAAGCGGGTGCTCTTAAAAAGGAAGATACTGGAGATATGCGTGAGTTGCTTTGGAGACCCCGTCGTGCTAGTAGTAGAAGAACATCGGAAGCTAAAATTGATCCCCTGGGTGCATTGGCAGATGTTGAGAGTGGAAATGATGGCGGTGGCAAGCCCAAAATTAAGCAAAAAGAGCGTGAAAGCATTTCCTTGAAGTCGGAATTAGGAATCCGTGATTTAGAAAGGGATAAGCAAAGCGAAGCAACAATAGTTCCTCGGAGCACCAAAAAAGAAAAGGACAAGAAGGTCAAAGACAGCCATTTGAAACAAGAGGAAGAAATACAATCGGTGAAGTTGGACACCGGAAATCTCGACAAAAAGTTAGAGCACACATCGCGGAAGCACAAGTCCACGGAGAAGCGCAAAGAACTTAGAATGACGAGAAAACCATCGGCAGAGGAAGACCTGGTGAATGCTGAACAGAATCCTGTCGATCAGTACCAAGAAGACTGGAAAAACAAAGAGGTACACCAAAGACGTCATCTTGGGCGTCGTCGGTCACGTTCCCGAGGAAGTAGAGCAGACAGCCCACATATTGAGCGTGAGTATGAAAGACGAACCTCAGAGAAAGAGCAACATAGACATGTGGAACGAGACAACTCGCTTGCAAGTAGCACTCCATCCAAACGGCATCACGGGGACCTCTCACGTGAATCCTCCACACACGACAGAACACAAATTAGAAAAAATGAACGTGTTGGCCATACAACAAAGGCGGATGGGAATGATGATACGAGTCTTGATGATCGATGTAGTGACTACTGTTCCTGTGGCAGTACAAGATCGTCCAGAAGTAGAGACAAATGTTATCGTAGACATGGACGAAGTAGTTCTGACGTTAATACCAGAAGTCGGCGTCTGTGCGACCGAGAGATGCGCAACCATGACCGCCATCGAAGGCGTCAAAAGGCGCGATCAATGCCTTCACGTTTATGTGGAAAATATGGTTCAGATGACATTGATGAGTGCACCTGTGACAGTGGATCTGTAAGACACATCTCTGTATGTTCTAGAGACAGCCAACGGTACAGCTGCTCTTGCGATTGTGAATCTCTAAGATGTCGCCATCAGTTTAGGGAGCCACGCAGGTCGAGAGCCAATGAAGAGTTGCTTGATGCGCTGAGTGAAGTTTGCTCTGAGCTAGAAAGTCGTTTGTATGATGAACTTCCGCGTGGTGGAAAAACACAAGCATTTCGAGGTGTGCCGCGTACCAACTTGGCCAGTTACCTATCACCAGACACACTAACGTTGTTGGAAAATGAGCACTATGCTCCCAGATCACGAGGTTATAATTACGATCGTGACCGTGGTTATAATCCAAGACTTCCACCTAGACCCCCAAGAAGGCATGCTGCAGACGGAGAAATTGAAAATGCCATGTGCCATTGTTCACCTGCGAAACAGCCAAACGTTGCACCAACGCCCGCGCCTACGAATAACCAGTCCCCAGTATTTTACCCTGTTCCACAACCAGTACCCGTTCCCACTGTAACTGTTCAATCCGCACCCCCAAATCAAGTTTGGTATCCAACACCGGCTCCCGCTGCAAATGTTTTCGTACGTCCAAGCCCACCATCTTTGATAAATGCCCAGCATATAACGCCAGCTCCCACTGCAGGTACCCCATTCATGATACCAAACGTTACAACTCCCCTGGTGCAGTCTAGCATGTTGTTTCCCAGCTTCGCTTATTGTCAGCGCTTATAAGTTGATTTTTCAGCATTGTCACTCTTCGGTTGAAAACGATTCCAACATCATGTGTTACAGCCCACTGGTTTGTGAAATATCAAAAAGGAGTTAAGTTGATATGTCATACAGCTTTATTTTAAATCGCCAGGTCTCAATTTTTGTGCAAGTATACAAGCAAACTTTCGGAGTTCCATTGGGCTCATTACGTTATGCAAACTAAAGCCGTGATTTCTCTAATGTTTCGAAATCAAGTACTGCATTTTCCGTTCTTTGAAGGTGTACAAGTAGCAACGAAATAATTATGTTGGCATAATTAGGGTAGTTTTGAACACGGATATCATCTGTATCCCGCTCTGCTCTATCGACAATCGACAAGGCTGCATGATTCTTCCTTACGAGGCTGTTTGAATAATACTGTAAGGGAGTACACGAAATGAGTGGATGCAGATAGACCTATGAAATTCCGCCCTAATCGACTATCTTTGCGGGTTATACCCGGAAAATTTTGCAAGACACGTCAACCTGACATCCACAAAATACTCTCCTGTAGATGATGAGATTTAGGTGCTCGGGGCAGCCTGAATACCCACATATGGAACAATGCGAAAATGGTATATTACAAGCAGAAAAGCGGATGCTTAGCAAGCCCAGTAGAATGGCCAGAAAGAGAACCTTAACACCGTGAATAGAAAAAGGATAAACTGAAAATCCTTTTTGTGATCTCACCAGTGTTAACAGAGGTATGTAGAAAGGGCCAACGTCAGCCGCGTAGGCTACTTCCGGTTGTGCAACTTTCTTCGCATTATATGGTCTATCAAGACAAGCATGATATATCTCGTAAGGTAGGTGGGTTTGCGCAACGTCGTCAGCCGGTGGTCGAATGATCTGCACGCCTGGCTTACAATCATGAGATCACCGGTCCGAATCCGCGTAGTGGTGGGCGTCCTCGCGGGATACTCAGCCCGCGCGCGACTGGTGGTGGTCGCACGTCAGCGAAGCGCAGATACGGCGTACAGCTGACACATTATTATTATTATTATTATTATTATTATTATTATTATTATTAGGACAACGTCAAGGCTTTTTCAATCACAGATAAAGTGGGGGCAAAAATAAGGTAATTCGGTGTGACGTCCCATTGCTGGTACACAGGAAGGGAGTAAAAGTTCCTTCGATATTCTAGCTGACTGTATTGTGTGGCTAATTTGAACTGGTGGCCCCACAAATGCGTGTTGTGGCTGAGTTGTGGTAGGTGGCGGCAGACGTGGTTGGGGTTCTATAGAATCTGGTAGGCCATAATAAGGTCGCGCCATAGGCGCCGGTACCGGCCGCTGTATAATTTTAGGGGCCTCAGTCTAAGTTGATAAGGAAGATTGAACAATCCTTTGACGTGCTTTGTGGCTCGCCGCTGTGGAGTCTCGAGCGCTGCAAGGTCTTGCTTGTGCCAGGGCTGCCAGGCCTGGATTGCATATTCCACATGAGACCGCACGTAGGTGTTAAGCAAGTGTATACAGACAAAAGGATCAAACCGCCAGAATGCCCCCCGTGACATGCTAACGCATTAATTCTCAGTCTTTGACGCCTTCTTATATAGTTCTGAGCAGCGCAGATCAGCCTGGATTAGTACCCCAAAGTCGCGCTCCTGGGTGACTGCATGCAGGACATGGTCTGCAAGCTTGTATGTGATGCTCAGCTGGTGAGGAATGTGAACCACGTCACACTTTCCCGAAATGAACAGGAGCAGATTGTGAACTGACCACTAGTACGCTCTGTTCATGTCTCGCTGAAGTGCTTCATGATCTGCTGGGTCAACGATGGTTCGCCACATTTTACCAACATCAGTGAAAGGCAAGAAATCCGAGGCAGTCAAACGCGTAACCTCGTAAATGAACACGAGAAACAGATGTGGCCCCAGAACCGATTCTTGTGGAACTCCACCTTCGACGTAAATCGGATCGGAGAGGGCACTTCTAACTCTGACCTGCAGTTGCCGATCTTACAGGAACAATCGTTCTTACTTGGTGCTCAGATTAACTCCAATGCACAAATAAACTTTACACTGTTACACTTTTGCACTTTTGCACTGTTTCAACATTCTGCGCATGCACCAATAAGATTTCCTTTTGTGGAGCACAGATGTACGTATCAAGATGATCTAGCCGTCGCAAAGGATACTCAGTGACGCCCTAGCTGCTACATCGAGTCAGGTAGATGTGAGTGAGGATGCTGCTGTTTACACCCTCCCGTCTTAACATTCGCCCTGTTACGCTCTCCATCTATACAGTTCCGTTCCCACAGCAACTTTATCCTCCCTCTTTATAGCACCGCAATACCTGCCCAGCAACCAAACTGATTCGATAGAGATTTCGACTCAAACGTAAGTATAGAACGTCGCTCCGCTTAACCCAGCAGGTCACTGAACAAAAATGCGGACAACCTCAGTTCATCTGCTTCTATCTATACCATCCCTCACTTGCTAACGTACTTAACGCAATCGCTTACATTCTTAGTGCAGAAGCCATCATTCATAGTGCGGTAGCTTTCCTTAATGCAAAGGCTATCATCCGATAATCATCGCACTTGCATCCACGTAGCACTGTGTGGGCAGAGGCTAACAGCCAATAAAATTCGGTTTAGTGTAGAAAGTGAACACAGTTACGGGCAGAATACTCACGCTTTCGGAGGTGAGTAGGAAACCTGTGAGACTTGGGTGAGACTACGTGGACCAACTCAAATGGACGGCAATTGCGACTTTACTAAACGGAGCTCAGCCGGTGCACAGTGTGCCGTGCGCCCTCACTGGACAATGGAGGTGTCTGAGACATCCATTGGAGCGCGCACAGTCCCTGAGTGAAGGGAGACGCGTGCGCTCAGCGAACCAGGTATAAGCCTGAAGTGTAGTGAAACCCCTTTCGTAAGTGAGCTTTAGTGATGTCTGAGGCTAGAGCGCAAGTGATGCACACAGGACAACCGTGCACAACGTTGGCTTCGTACCAAAATGTTCCTCTAAACAAGAGGCGCAGATAGGTTGCCTGGTTTTGGTGGGTATTCAGGCTAATTTAGTCGGATAGTTGAAGGCGCAGTAGAAGCTACCTGTTTGAACTCGAAGCCAAGTTGTCCGTAACATAAGGAGCGGAACGCTTTCCGTCGCACCAAAATGGATACCAATCGCTACATGTAACTTCTTTCTTTATGCGATGAAATCTTACTTTTGTGACTGATCCATAGGTCTAAGTTGAACGTGGGGTAGAAGGTAATCATATTCCAAACAATTCGCCCCTCTACGAAGCACAGAGGTCAAATCTGATCGAGGTAGACAGGACAGCTCGCGGGTGGAATGATATAATCCCCAATGGAGAGATGAAGGAGGCATGTGGTAGATGTTTGCTTGCAGCCATGAATTTCTTTTCAAAGGATATGTGAAACGGTGAATTATATTACTTTCCTGCTTGTTCCGCAAGTACGCAGACATGTAATATTTTGTTGCGAAGGCATTACCCTACAAGCAGCTGGTCTCGTGAAATATGGGGGTATTGCGAATCGGTGCACTCTACGACAATGGCCCCCAACTTCTGTATCGCCGTGCACCAGTCGGCGTTTGGTACTTGTACCCCGGCCGGCTGAGGGGGTTTGTTGAACGTTTAAATCTTAGATTGTTTTGAGTGAATAATTTTAATGTAATTCTGAT